GAAGCACTGACTCCAGCTGCAGTCCACTCTTTGTGAATCTCCCCCACATTTTTGAATCGGTTTTGTTTCACAATCCTCTCCAGGGTGCGGTTATCCCTTTTGCTTGTACACTTTTTTCTACCACATCTTTTCCTTCCCTTCGCCTCTCTATTAATGTGCTTGGACACAGAGCTCTGTGAACAGCCAGCCTCTTCTGCAATGACCTTTTGTGTCTTGCCCTCCTTGTGCAAGGTGTCAATGGTCGTCTTTTGGACAACTGTCAGGTCAGCAGTCTTCCCCATGATTGTGTAGCCTACAGAACTAGACTGAGAGACCATTTAAAGGCCTTTGCAGGTGTTTTGAGTCAAATAGCTGATTAGAGTGTGGCACCAGGTGTCTTCAATACTGAACCTTTTCACAATATTCTAATTTTCTGAGATACCAAATTTGGGGTTTTCATTGGTTGTCAGTTATAATCATCACAATTAAAAGAAATAAACATTTGAAATATATCAGTCTGTGTGTAATGAATGGATATAATATACAAGTTTCACTTTTTGAATGGAATTAGTGAAATAAATCAACTTTTTGATGATATTCTAATTATATGACCAGCACCTGTATACTCTATATAATATACTCTACATTTGGTTAGAGATGGTCTGTGCATATACACCTATATACAGTACAGCTCTCTCTCCCTATGTCCTGTTGATCCATGACCCGATGCAGCCACCATGTCCCTCTTAAGGGGATACAGTTCAGTCCTTCTCATTTTTTTGCAGAAAGTTACTCAAAACCTTTCTGTGAAGCTCCTCCTCCTCCCTGTGGCTCTGTTTTTCCATCATGTGGAGAGGATGGTGGGAGATGGGTGATGGTGAGAGAAGAGGGCACGGATGTGGATGTGAGATTCCTTAAAGAAGCTGTCTTGAATTTTTCCTTGACCTGAAGTTAAAAACAAAGAAATACACAAACCTGTCAGGAAAATGAATTCTTTAGGGGCAGAGCAGGGACAAAAATGAGAAGAGTAACTCACCCTGTGTCTGAACTGTTCACAACTCATAGACATTTATCCTGTGATGAGCAGGTTCCCTACTTCCTATTTAGGAGTCACAAGCTGTGGCAGGTAACCACTAAACTAAGAGATACATTTAGGCCTGGCTGGTTGTCTGATGGGCTGACATTAGTTAAAAATACATAGGCTATTTTATGTAAAAAGGTTAATTCTTGAAAATCTTAGAGACCATGTTGAGTATGAATCCAGACCTACCTGTGCTATTCAGCTTCTTGTACACCAGCACAATTATCTTTACTTTCTGATGCTATAGCTAAATACTCCGCCCTGAGGAAAGGAGAGTGAAAGAAAGGAGAGAAAGATAAAAAAGCAGTTCCAGGAAGGGAAATCCAGGATGAAAGTGGAAGATGGGAAATCAGGACATTTGGACAGCCCAGCAGGATCTGGAAATGAAAGAACGGCACTGGCAAGAGGCTTGCTCTGTGTGTGTAGGTGTTACTCACGCGCTCTCTCTCAGAGCCTCCTCTCCTGCTGCTGAGATCTTCCTGTAGCAGTAAATCATCTCAACTACCAGCCAGAATTGCAGCCCGATGATAGAGACATACATCATCACCTCAGACAAAATGGAAGCCATTCCCCTGGTGACTAGAAACACACAGATCAACATACACTCATAATTCATGGTCCCCCTGTCCTGAGTTACAGTCATAATTTATTATTTACTGAATGCTTCTGCAGGTGCAGTTAACCTACAGTATCTGACATCCACTGATGAATTCAGTTCTGTTGTGAAGTCCATTACCCATTGTGCCCTTGCACAGATCTTGTAGTAGTTGATCTGCGTGCTTCAACTAATGAAAATTCAGAGGATCCAGAATTGAACCTTGGGGGACATCTCAATTACTTTCTATGGTTTTGACCATTAACCTGGGGCAATGGAAGCTAGCTGTAAACACAGCATGTTATCGCCCTTTAAATCTAAGACCTACAACTTCTTTGGCCTTCTCAGCATTGTTTTTTATATAAACAGTGCAAGCTGTTGGTTGCCTTGTCCTACTGACCAGTTTTTATGTATGGTTGTCCAGACTGTAGATTTCAGCTAGCCTTTAGCTTTGTTTTGAGCTAAAGTTGGTTCTTTAGTGCATTGCTCAGTGTAATTAGAAGTTCAATAAATATGGGCCTATTTCAGTGTAACATTAAAATTAAAGCAACCTATAAATGCAAGTCAGTGGTAGTTATGGATAATTTTGTTTTGCCATTTCCCACTCAAACATACAGTACATCAGCCCCTGCCCCCACCCCAGATCCACTCCAAGCCCTCTGTTCTTACGTTGTGGGACCACATTCAGGGTGATAATCTTGGTGATGTTAGTTTCAATCTGGGGCGACTTCTTATAGGTGAGGACGCGGAAGAATGTGCACTTGTAGGTTCCCGTGTCATTGTATGTCACATTGAGGATGAAGATGGAGCCGTCCTGTAGGTCCTTGGTGTTCTTGCTGCCATTCCACATCAAACGCCCATAGAAACGTAGGTCAATTACTTCTTCTGCTATGTCTTCATAGATATATATCTGGAAGGAAGTTAAAGAATGGGATTTTTGAGCTGGAGGCAGACTCCAAACATTCAGCAAAGCGATTTGACAGTGTCTAGTTGTAAGGGAGTGTCTTTCCACCTATTTTTGGAAACTAATTAATAATCTTTGGCTGGATATTTTTTTATTCTTTATATGTGTGAATAAATACTGTAAAACTACAATTGAAAACTGCTGTTTTCTCTTGGATGCTGATAGGTATAAAACACACTGATTGTTCTGTGTTATGAATATTCACACCCTGAGTGTCAAGTCTGCGTTTCGGTTTCTGCCATACTTGAGGAAATAGACAGCTGGTCTCCTCCTCACCGCTGCTGCTATTTTTCTATTTCGACTGATGTGCAGTTAGCAGCCTTGCCTCTGCACTTCCTGGTGAATTAGTGGCTACTAATTTTAATTGGCAGTTTAGGGCTAATGGGCTCTCTTCTGCTATAGGCACTGAATATACCATTATGACCTCTTTGATTTGCCTGGGGAGGACATCTTTGGTAAGCAAAAAGGCTGCCTTCCAGTCGACACAAAGGGGGAGGAAAGTTTGTCATGAAAAATGCAAGACTCTGCGCTATCTCATGAGAAATGCATTACAGCCGTTTTCCAAAAAGCATTCAGACAGCACTGTTGTGATGGATGTGTCTGGGGCCTTGAGTTGATTGTATTTTAAAATCTGTGGTGTTTGGTCTCCGGCACTGGGCCTTTTTCATGAAGTTTAGACTGATATTTCAGTTTTTAGGGTAATTTCCAAATTAAATTGATATATTGAGAATAACTTACAAGAGGTGAATTTTTGTTATACTTTTGAGTCTTGACTGTATTGAATAAAGTGCATATGTGATTTGGCACAGTTTTTGTTTTTATGCTTGATGCCTTTCCTGACAACCCTCCCATTTTTTTATCCAGGCTTGGGATCAGCACATAGAGGGCAATGGCTTGTGTAACCCTAATAACTGGGTGTGCACCTCGTATTCCCAGGTGGTTCCCCCATTCCAAGTACAAATCAGGCCCAACCTTGCTTACTGTGGGATCAATAAAGTACCTACTCTACTCTACTTAGTTTCTCAGATCAGATGAGCTCGGGCACGACCAGGGTGGTGTGGCTGCATTGTATGATCTAAAGTAATTCTGTAAAAAAAAAATGTAAAAGAACCTGTATAAAAGAACCTTTGAGAATATGCTTATGTCATTCTTTGGAGAGAGACAGCTAGTCTTGTTGTCACAAAGTCCCAATAAAACAACTTGGTTTGACAAAATATTCTGGTGATTCTGGTGATTTGTGATGTTTACACCTAAATTTCTGTATTAAATAAATGCTGTGGGGTTGTGCAGTGGTTAGCATGGGCACCTTAGGAGGTTCTGGGTTTGAACTTGACCGCCACCGCCTCTCTGTGTGAATGTAAGTGTGAATGACAGTCTATATTTGTCAGCCCTGTGACAGACTGGTGACCTGTCCAGGGTGTACCTCGCCTCTCACCCAGTGTCGGCTGCGATTGGCTGCAGCAGGATAAGTGGTATAGATAAGGAATTGATAGATTAAACAAACCAGATATAAAATGTTATTGAGTGTATTCCCTAAAATGTTGAACTGTTCCTTTAAGGCAATACTTATTCAAGGTTTGCCTTGTCATATATCTTAATGCTACTTACAAGGGAGAAATCAGTCTCATCTGAAGCCTTGAAGTACCAGTTGACAGAAGCTGTGGCATGCACCTCGCCTCTTCTCTTACAGGAAATGCAGCCCAGCCTGAAGCCTTTGCTGGCCATGGCCTCTGTGTCTGAGTCCACCTCCACGCAGGCCCCATGGCACAGAGACGCTACAGAGTGAACCAGACGAAGAACACACAGTGAGAAACCTTCTGTTTTTACTTTTTATTGTTCTTTGTCTATTTACAGGTCATGACATTCAGACATAATAGTCATGAACTGCAGTCATTCCCTTTTTTTTTATATACCCGTAATTGGACAGAAAGGTTGACACACGGGCAGAGCTCTGGTGTTTCTAGTTTCTCAGTACTTGCAGGCAAACTCTCTAACAGTACTTTACAAAACAAGAATAGCTGATTGAACTTTAGAATTTTTGCATGCTTGTTCCCAGTGCACTTTGCATGCACATTGCTTTCCCCTCATATCGGGCATAGCTTTTTTCTTGCTTTTTTTCCCCACTCATCATTTCAGCTCATAGATTGCTCAGAATTGGATTAATTTGGTTTTTAGTTCTGCGGTCATTTACATTTGAGATATTTTTAATCTATGAAACTGAGGGGAAATAAAGAGGTTGCATTGAGTGCTACTATTGTCTTGCATAATGTCAATTAATATCTGAGTTAAATTCATATATAGATGCACAAGTCTATATATGCCATCATCATCATGACACATACTTTGCATCGGCCAGGAGTTACACACCTGTAACTCCAAATGTTTCTTTCTCACACTGCACCTTGCAGTTTCCAATGATCTTGTGCTATTCTCAACTTTCATCTCTGGAGAAGCGTTTGTTTTGAACCGTAAGATGGGTGGAGGAAAATGAGGGAGAGGACAGGAAACACATGGCACAACGCTGGTAAGAGAACTCTGAGAAATCATTTAAAGTTCAATTGAGATTCACACCGGCTGCACATCGTCCATGGCCTCGTACACAAATACAAAACAGCTCTGTTTTCTACTACCTGGGATACAAATACTGCAGCACCATAGTGCGCCATTTAAAAGAATTATACAAATACAGATGCCACCACACTGCAGAAAAAACATGAACAGAAGGAATGAAGAAAGAGAAAGTTAGCACAGGGTTCAGTAGGTACAGCCATTTCTACAAAAGCACAGGGAGATGGGAAAGCACGAGGGAAGAGGTCTAAAAACTGGCTGATGCACTGCAGAGAAAGAAGAGGGAGAGAGGAGGAAAAGTTAAGAACATAATGTAAGACTTCACAGGCCCAAAAATAAAACCCATACATATCTGGCCTCCTTGTTTTTTTTTTATTATAAGAGATACAGTAAACCTATGCATTTAAAACCAAACATAGAGCTGATGCACCCAGCTGAACCCGAGAACGACTGAACCCAAGCCAAAGTTTCAGGTGCCAAAGTTACATTCAAGCAAGTAATTGTATGAATTTTGTTCAGGTCGATAAAAATTCAACCTGCATTGATTTATCAGGTCTCATTACTATAAGTTAATTCTGGTTCCATGTACTTAGTTTTTATTTTCATACAGTAGTTGTGGATATTATCCTATTAATAATAGCATCACCCAAATTACACCTTCATCCCAGTTTACAGAGTGACTTCCTGTTTCATCTTTGACCTCTTGTTGCAGTTGTATATATAATGTCAATATTGTTATATTTTTTGCACAACTCATCACAATCCTGGACTTTTCTCTGGGTTTAGTGGGTCTGATCGTGCATTTGCACCAGTAGCATTCTGACTTCACTGCTCACTTGAATAGTGCTTTCAGATACTGGTGGGAGGTGTGTGCTGTGCAGACTAGATGGTTTTAATTGGTTATTGTGACAATAAGCAGCCTAACACCAATCAGAAACACCATATGTGTTTATTTTTCTCCTAAACATGAATGTGTGCATATATTGTTTTTTTGTTTTGTTTACAAAATCATAATTCCAGCTGCACCACAATATTTCCATGTATCACCTAGCAGTTGCAGAAGTACCCACTGGTGTACACACTGGTTTAGATCTGGCTAAACAGTGGACTTGTTGGTATCCAGTCTAAGTCTGGCTGGTTATTTCCAGATCCATGCAATTATTCTGATGAGTACAGTGTTATAATTATATTTAGTATAATAGCCAAAACTAGCACTGTATTAAACCAGAATGTTCCCTTAGAGTAGCATTTACATAGACCTGACATTCACCAAAATAATTCAAGTGAGCAAAACTTCACTGTCTCATCCTAGCAAACAGTAATTTGGTTAAGGTGGGGTTCTTTGGTTCTCAGGTTTTCTGGGAATCTGCTCTGTGGAGGAATTCCAGATTATAACAAATAGACCTGAGCCAAACAGCATTTGCCAGTTCTTCTCCTGAACTTTATAAACCTGCTGCACTTGTTCAAGGACAGCAAAGCAGTGAGTGGAAAATGCAAAATGGCTTCATTGCTTGTTTAATCCCTGTTCTATTTAGCTCTCTTGTCTGTTGCAAATGTGACCTGATTGTTTGTGTTAATTACATGCTGCTGTAAAGCTGGTCCAGCTGTCAGCGCTGGCTGCCAGTAGAGGTCGGTGAAAGTCGTTTATCACAAACCGCCCCTTGTAAAATCTCAGAGGAACATGAATGAAAATCAACTACTAGCTATTTTTACTAATTAGACACCACCACATATTAGGCTCATCATTAATGTACAATGATGTTTTGACTCAGGTCTGAGAGAGACTTCATGATATCGACTTCTACTGTGTAGTAAAAACAGAGATGCAGAAAGAGACAGACACAGGAGCAAGACCCCATGCAGAAAAACGGAACAGTTTCTGAAGGCTGGCATTTTGACTGCTCAGAGACATTACAGCAGCAATGACACACATGTTGGACAGTAAGAGACATACAAAAGGGTGTTAGAAGACCAAAGAAATCACTGTGGTTGCAGGACAGAAAGAACAGAGACAGATGAAAGTAGCTGCATTTAACAGTAGCACACAAACAGCAAGAGACCGTAAGCCCGAGGGAGCTCAGTGACACAGTGAGAGGGGGGAATGCACAAGGTGAGCACAGGCTGTCCAAAGCTGAGACAGCAAGTTCAGAAGACAGAGAAAAGACAGTAGGAGAAAGAGACAAACATGCTAACTGACACAACAGCAAGTGCAGACTAAACCGAGCCAGAGCCACCACACTGCTCCAGAAATGATTTTCACTAACTACAGCAGGACACACAGACACACATCAAAAATGCAAATCCATTACATAATCTGTGGTCTGAAGTTGAGGATTATGCAGCGGATATTCAGGAAATTGTAGATTAGGAGTTTTTCGTCACTCATGGGGGCTGGCTGATTAAACCCTCATATCATGCTGTATTACCATTGAGGTCTATAAAGCAACAAAAGAAAAAAAATTCACTCATTGAGGTTAGCTATCTTAGCATGTCTCTGGGAGCCAAAGGCAATACAAAAAAAGGTTATTTGCTTCATTGAGAGCGAGGGAGAAAAGAAAACTGGATAAGCTACAGCAAAAGAGATGAGGGAGGACAACATCCGTTTCTATGGCTGGGGTACTACGGACATAAACACACATACTGTAGGCACTGAAACACTGTGCTGTGTGCATCTCTTTTAGTTTAATCCACCACAATGTCATGGCTGATAAACTCACGTCAGGCCGGTTTATCAGTATAGAATAAACCAGAAGAATCCCCGTCTAGCTATTTTTTCTAAAGCAGCTGCTTCGTTGTTTCCAGAATGCAATTTCTGTTTTGTGGAGTCCAACACCAGAGAAAGACAACTACCACATTCTTTTCTGTGATTTTAAAACTAAATGATCTCACTGACGATTGCCTCATGGAGTCAAAAATAAAAGTTAAGAGGACTTCTTAGTAGCTCTCTAAACACCAACCCCATGAAAACCTTTGCTACTTTGCATTTGCTTCTCAAAAGCTTTTTTCCTACTGTGACAAATAAGTGGATTAAAATGAAGAATCAAAGAACAATCAAGGACAGAAGAGTCAGGTTGACTCCACATTCTGTCCTTTTACCAAAGACTATTTAAAAAAGAGCAAACATCCTAAAGTTAGAACTTGAATTGTTCATATTGGTCTATAGTTGAAACCAGTCATTTTTACCTATTTTACATTAACCGGCTCAAGACATTTTGGGACACTTCCTCAGATTGTCACAAATATTGTAGCTTTAACTTTGTCAGCCAACAAGTATTTTTGTCAAAATACTTGACACAATTTTTAAAAACTGACTAAAACATATTGAAATAACTACTGTTTACCATCTCTCTCCACACAGAGAAACTAGTCTGTCCACATCCTGATACATAATGTGGTTTTGTCCTTGTGTGTCCTTATGTGGCTTTGGCACACACATACTTTCCAGATACACAATTTCCAGAAGCACTTAGCAGTTGGTCATAAGTGATGGTCTCTCTGCTTAAGAGATAAGTGTAACAAATAATTGTTCCAATAAACACGAGAAACGTGAATAAATCCACATACAGCTACATATTAAGCTATAGACCATTACATGTATACTCTTACAAACTTAAGGAAAACAAGCAACTTCGCTTTAGCAACTTCACATCGATCACAGGATCAAATGTTGTAAAGTGTTATAAGTGCAGGGCAGAACACAAATTTGTGACAGTGAAAATACGGTGTTAACAATAAGTTCCCAGTTCTGCAAATGCATCACCTTGTCATCTCATACAACAAAGCTCTCACTCTCCTGACCACCACCGTCCTCTAACAACTACCGGAAACCCTGGGAATACAAACATCTGTCACACAGCTGGATGAACAGGGGCTCAGGGTGTGTGTGTGTGTGTGTGTGTGTGTGCGCGTGCAAGCAGGTCTGTTTGCATGTCTTGTGTGACAAAAGCGCAGGACACATGCAGCCTGCAATTAGGTCGCAGCACAGTATCTCGCTCCAGATTTGCGGGTTAGAAGGATCTCATAAAAACAGAGCCTCAAATAGAATCAGAATGAAACTCTGACAGCAGCTGCAGATGGGACACAAGTGAAAGCACTCTGAAAATCACATTCATGCTTTTGTACAGAGTGGAGAGCTACTCTGCAAGAAATATAGAGCCAGACCTCCCATATGCTGTATGTAGCAGCTGCTGCAGGTTTTATTTGATCAGCAACAGAGATGGCTTCAGATGTTGCACAAACCACTTGAAAAAATACTGATTTGTTAAATTATTTAACTTTTACGGTAAGGTCCACAGTGGCCAGAATCTTGGACCTGAGCTGTAAATGTTCCCAGTTCCACACTGTTCCATAGATGGGCTGTCCTGGCACATCTCTTCAGTGCTGCATGGAGGACCTAGACAGTGCCTGTGGACTCACAATTACTCATTAGCCTCAGAAAGGCTTATGTCAGAGTGCTGGAAAGGCGTCTACACTACCCTGATGAACCTCCTGGCCACAGATAATCAGCTGAAAATGGGGATGGATGGCTGTAAATGCTGAAGAAGCTGCAAAAAGCTTAAAAAAAAACAACAAAAAAACTTCCTCTTACCTATGTCCTACAATCTAATGTATTATTTAAGTGTTTAAAAAAACAAATCGTATCACAACTCAAGAGTGCAAACACTTGTATAAAGAATTCCTAAAACACAAGTACAAACCAATAATCAGTATCAGAAATAACTTTAAAAGTAAAACTTGCTGCTGCAATGCATCACTCATGCAGTCATAAATAGTTTATGCTCTACGCCTGCTGCTTACGATGAGCTTCTCGGTAATGTCATTTCCAACTTGTGCAGAGGAAGCGGTCAGACTGGAGTGATGGAATGGATATGGGGAGTGATGGAATTGATATGGATCCAAATGGCTTGATTGTGGGGCGGCTCAGATATCCTGACAGTTATCTCCTTTGACCATAAGCTTGTGCTCAAGCCATTTGCAGACTCAGTGCTTCAGAGCTACAGTTGACTGCATGCATTAGATAAGGTGCCATCAGATGCATTAAGTTTTAGGAGCATCTGGTTTGAAAGCAGGTACTGTTTGGTCTGTCTCATGCCTGAAAACATTGACTGAATTATCATTGATTGTTGTTTATACATTTTTTTCTTTTTGTAAATAATTCTAAAATTAAAAACATTCCTTCATAATTTATGCATCTTACATCCCAGTGTTCTGGAGGTCGTCTGGCATATTCTGTCCTAGATGAACCCGAAGCTCAGCTTCACTCAGCCTCTGTTCAAAAATGTTAATTTCTTCTTATCTTGAAAGAGATTTGTCATATCTATTCACGTCTTTATACTGAGATCAGCTATAGTTCAATATTATTTAAAGCACGCATGGTGAAATATTTTTGTTAACTGTTGTGTTTCCCTGGTTGTAGCTCATTTACCAACACCTACTTCTTGTTCAAATAGTCTCCAGTCACTTTTAAGGCATGCCCATTGTCTGTATTACATTCAGATAAGTTTCCAAATAAATCTAGAGGCCACAAATAAAGAAATTCTGGCTGTGAATGTAAATTTCTTAAAGTTTACGAAAGACGATATCCTTGCAGAGTTTCTTCTTTTTCTGTGGGTCTCAGGAGACTGATAGCACTTTAAAGGTGATGGAATATTTAGCTCGGCTATTTTCACATCAGCGGAAGGTGTTTCTCATGCTATAACAGAACGAATGGCAGTAAACAGCTTCTCGTGAAAGTGGGAAATGGTTTCGTGATGTCTCAAATCATGCAGATATCAGCCGGAGGAATCGAAAGCCTGAGGGCAGCTTAGATAACTGGCACAAATTTTCTCTTTCATGATGCTATTTTTCCTGGGCAGTACTAGTATAAACGTTACATATCCAGCAGAGACCTGACTTAAGTAAAACATACAGCTGTAGCATGATGCAGAAAAGCAAACGTTCTTCAACCAACACAAACATCCTGAAATCCCTGAAAACTTCCATTCATTTGATCCGGAGCTGAAATTATTTGTCCATTAACAGATTAGTTGATTGACTGAAAATTAATCAACTATTTTTATAACTAGATAATTGTTTTTCATTCAAATACACTAAATATAGAGTTTCCAGTTTCCAGGAGGAATTGTTGCTTTTCTCTTCTTTTATATCACTCAACTGTTAACAAACTTCTTCACTATGTTTGAGCATCTTATAGACAAATTATAGATCGGATTAATTCAGAAAAGCACTGGTATATTAATGAGTAATGAAAATAATCATTAGAAGCAGCACTGAACTGCAAATACACACATCAGGGGAACATGGATGTAACACAGAGATATAAATACTCTACATTGTTCTAGGCCGATGAATACACATCAACTGTGGTATCTGTGTGTGTGTGTCCTCCATTTTAATGCTGCCACATGGCCTCATCTCATTACTCTGAAAAGGCAACAAACCTGAACAGCTGGGCTTTTAGTAAACAAACCAGCACAATAAGGGAACAACACACACACACACACACACACATATATCTGCATGTGAACACACCCATCCATAAACACACATACACTTGAGAAAATCCCCAAAACATCACCTGCAAACACATGACACAACAGGAAACACCTTGATGGTAACACACAGCAAGACACTGATTGGGCGACTGGATGGTGGCTCTTGTGCATGCCAAGGTGTTGCTATAATGGCAACACAACCACTGCCCACTCACCTTGAAGCACCAACAGGGCCAGAGGTAGCAACAGCAGCTCTTGTACTGTAGACATCCTGACAGAAGAAAGAAGACTGATGGCGGTTCACCACACTCACACTCACACACACACACACACACACACACACCTCAAAATGGGGGACACACAGGCAGATAAGACGAAGCTACAGCAGCTGCATCACCAGCTTGGTGATGAGCACTGAGACACCAAAGACTATGATGAAAAGTCTGGGAGGTGAGAGGAGCAGACTCTTTCCTGATGCTGTTGGGTCCAGCTGTGGTGTCTTCTCCTGCTTGTTTCTAGATGATACTAGTACCAGAAGAAGGGGTGGGTGTGTCCTCTTGCTGCTCTGCTCTTCTTAAGTACCTGAAAAGCCAGAGAGCAGTAGCCTGGAAGTTGTGCTGCCTTGTTTCTGCCCATCCCAGGATCTAAATCACTCTATTTAGCTGGAAAGCCTGTCCAACCCCTCAGTGAGTTATCACAGGGAGGAATCTCTCCGAGTTTCAGGTTTCACCCTCTTGTTGCTCCAAAAGGGCCTTTGTTCAACTATATATGCTCTGGCACACCCTTAGGCCTCCAGTATCCTGACTTGCACAGACTGAAAGAAAATGGCAGTGTCAGTAATTAAAAAAAAAAAAGCTAGTGGAAGACTAATATGTTAGGCTGATAGGAGGTGATGGCAGGGGATGATGCTGAGGAGTCTGATAATGTCAAAATGTTGCATGCATGAATGCCAGGAAATGGACAGGAAATGTTCAGCTTCCCTCACTGACTTTTCTCTCATGCAGGATTGCAAATATAACCTGAACAAAAAATGGGTCTTGGCTTGATAGAGTAAAATGGCAAACAGAAGCAGTGTGAAGTATCCTTTAGCTTGTTTCCAACTCTTTGGCAGAAATTACAATTATCACCTTACTATTATTAGTGCCTCAAAATAGTGTTATTGCTTTCTTTCTGCTGTCCAAGTTGCAGATTCACAACTACACATCTGTTCAGATACAGTTCCAGGCAGTGGTCTAGGGCAGAGTCTGGCTGATAATTCATGTGAAATCATCCACTGTTAGTGCACGTCAGTTAAGCCATATGGTTTGTTTAGCACAGGCTTGACTACAACAGCACAGGTGGCTCTGCTGCTCAGACGGGCCACCCGTGCATGAAACCTGTCTGAAAGGCATGCAGTCAGCAGCTGAAGGGAGTTTATTGACGCGGATGCCCGCATTCAGTTTGTCTTTGGAGGTTAAAGAAGTGCGCTATTCTGTGTATTCTAGCAATGTGAGAACAGGTGGGACTGTGTTTGACTTCGGGCGATCAAACTACAGTCAAATATTGGCTAGTCGTTATCTGTGAATTTGGTTTAAAAATACATGCAGTCGTGTCTGTCCTTCTCTTTACACTCCCATAAACGCAGCGCGCGTCTCTGCGTCTCTTTACCTTCTCCGCTTTTGACAAAATTTCAGTTTTTAAAATCAAATCCTGCGCGTCCCCCTCGCTGGTGTCCTTTAAACGTCGCGTCCTGGTAGAGCTGGAAGGCTCACGCAGTCAGATGGTGGAAGTCCCTTTGCTGTCACATCGCGGACCTCTGGAGATATTTTAACACCAGTCTCAGAGCACGGACACTGACAAAAAAATCTTAAGAAGAGACGCACGGTGGGAAATTTCTTTTAGAGACACTATATTCCTCCTGGAGATTTTAATCCAGGCGCCAGCCGAAAAAGCTGTATACACGTAAGGAAGAACATTCAGTAAGCCTCAACAATTACATGGTGTGTCAGTGGAAGGATGCTGCACTAATCAGCCTCTGGGATAGCTGAAGGCTGGAGGAGGGAGGTGCGCGCTGGAGGAGGAGGAGGAGGAGGAGGGAGGGTGTGATGCATTGCAGCAGATAGATAGAGAAAGAAAAAGAGGAGGAGGGACTGGTATAGAGCCGTTGTTATGGCAACAGTAATTTTATGTGTTTCCGCCCCTTCCAGAAACCCCCACGTGTTGGCAAAGACAAAAATCGGTTTTTAACTGGGAAGTGTGCCAAAATGACCCAAAGAATATAGTGTAGCATAAGGATATTATGAGCATAATTTCAAGCATGAGATTTCCCAAACTGTGATTTATGAATGGATCTTTCTGCCCCCAAGATGTTAAATAAACAAGGCAGACCCAAAATCCAAGACGCAAGGTTTAATGTCAGTATGTGAGGTGAAATGCAGGGTTCTGCTAGAAGACTAGTGAACAATAATTAGATCATTAAACAGAGATATGCCCTTTATAGATGTATGTAAGTGAAAACATGCAGGGCAGTGCAAAACCGAGACAACACAATAATCACAGTTGTCTTTTTTGCCTCCGAACTGCCTTATTCATCGTTTGGCACCATCAGTTTCTTCGTTCACATCTTTGTTTGCAGAGTTACTGTCATCACAGCACACCAGTGTCAGTGAGGTGCCGCCATGTTTCTGTGACAGTGAAGCTATTAATCACAAACTTAGTCATTCTTGCTCAGTTTATAGTAGCAGTGGTACAACAGTGCCACCATGAATCCAAACAGAACACACAACCTGCTATTACACTCAGTAGCCACCTTATTATACAGTATACACATACAGTATCTAGAACTACTGCAGTCTAATACAGCAGCAGCTGAGGCTCAGAAGGTAAAGTGGTTGGCGGTTCGATTCCTAGTCCACATGTTGAAGTGAGCAAGATACTGAACCCCAAGTTGCTCCCGATGACCAGAGCAGTGCCTGGCAGGGACAGCGCTGCCATCGGTGTGTGTGAGTGAGCTGGTGCCGCAGACGGCTGCCTCGGTTCTGTACCAGAGACAAATTCCTTGTGTGTGTAACATGCTTGGCCAGTAAAAAGTGATTTTCATCATCAGCCCTGTAATAAATATGTTCATGTCTTTGGGAAGCTAAAGGTTTTGATCCAGCTGTAGTTTGTGGTGCTACTGACACAGATGTGTTGTTGTAGTCATTTTGTGTCTCTTTGTGTCTGGATGCCATGCTCCTGTGGGGGGCTGGGGGGACTTCTACATGTGTGTGTCCATGGGCCTGTTGTCGAGGCTGTAAGCTGTTTGTTTTGATTATTCCATGTTATATAAAATAGTTTCTATTCACTTATTACATATATGTATATATATAGTATATTCTTAACCAAGTCCCCAGTCTGGCCTGTCATTTAGACATTTATATGTGAATGTCTAACACGGGTGGATCACATTAAAACTGTTTGTGGTTAAATAACCCATAGCTGTGTGGAAAGTCCCTAGTTCACTCACTGTAGCATGTCCTGTTCCCAGCCTGTCTGGCATTAAAAACATTTAAACCCACTTTCCTGTGGTTCTTTCTCTTAATCATTTGAACTCATATACAGGCACACACACTTGTACAATCAGAGGTAGCATGACCACAAGTGCACTGATGTCCTCATTTTGGCCATTTCATTATGCCACCAGTGAAGATTACTGTTGCCGATCACATCCCTGCCTCTGCCCTGACAAATGCACCGTGTGTGTGTGTTTGTGACCTTTACATGCATAATTCCATTAACATTATTTTAATGTCTTAAAATATATGGATTAACTTCAACCATAGCAAAATTGCCACTAGGGATGAACATCACTCATCCAGTTAGACACAACTGAGGAAAAACTTGTTTTATTATCCACAAATATAAACTAATCTTAGTGATACAAATCATACAAAACAACCGGTTTGAGGCATTTCATTTAAGAGACACAAACTGTGTGTTTTCTCAGTTTCAGCCTGGGGTTTTGGCTTTAAAATCTGCCTGGTTTAAGTTAGGATGATGATGATGCCCTATGGGTGTTTTTTAAGCTATCATATGAATGACAAAAACATTTTAATGTCACTCTAAATGGTTGCTCTTTGTGCAGCTGCCCACACTCACCAAAACAGGAAGAAAGATTATCAGTAATGTGTTTCATTACTGCAATGAAAAAGAACAGAAATCATAGTGAAGGAACCAATAAAAACTGTAGAAGAAGGAGCCAGAATAATGTAAGCACATTTCCTACAGGCGGGGCTTTACTTGGATTTTCTGATAGAGTTCTGACAAAGAAACCCTCCCTTGGAAATCAAGTCCAAAACCCAGTGCAGTCAGATTGTACATATTCAACCAAAAAGTGTTAACAATGAATGAATCAGAATAATAAGTCTGTTCTTTACATTGCATGTAAAGCTGTATAAACATGTTGATCTTCTGTCCTCTTTTTATGCCGTAACATTCACAGTCAAGCGCAGTTTACATTTTAAAAAATTAGAAGCTAAAAATGTTGTGAGGTTGTTTACACCTTCCCCAGCTAATTTCTACAAGACAATAGATGTAAACAATCCAACTAAATATTTAGTATAAGGGATTATTTGTGATTATATTGTCCTTAAAGGCATATATGGTATCCTACAGAGATATACTGTGGTTGGCTTTAGTCAGAAGCAGCCTCCACTTTAAAATCATTCCTCAGGTTAAGACTAGAAAATGTTTTTTGGGCACTCTCAGGCAGTTCAAGCAGTAAATATACACTCACTGGCCACTTTATTAGGCACACCTGTACACTTCCACTGTAACATCTGTTTTTTTTTCCAAATGTTTCTGTTTTTGGTGAAGTTATCATAAATGTACAAACTAAATTCTATGTTTATTATTGAGGTCATAGTTAAAGGTGGTGTTGTACTGGACTACATTATATTCAGAGGAGTTCCTAATATTTTGACCCTCTCGTGTATGTAGTTTGGGAGGACAAAAATATTAGGAACTCCTCTGAATATAATGTAGTCCAGTACAACACCACCTTTAACTATGACTTCAGTAATAAACATAGAACTGAATTTATACATTTAGGACAATTTCACTAAAAACAGAAACATTTTGAGTTTCATAAACACAAATGTTAGGGCAGAAGTGTTGCACTGAATTTCATACAATTTTGCAGGTGTACCTAATAAAGTGGCTGCTGAGTGCACATTAAGTCTTCATTTATTTTGCCGTATAGATTAAACCATCCAGTGGTTTTGACCTCACGGAGTCTTTGTCTGGGCAGAAATCACTACACCATACTGTTTACATCTGTTATTCTTTATAGACAATACATAAATACAGCATCATAAAAAGAAAAAGAAAAGTAGGAGCACCTTCTGGGTTCACTGTAACACAGAGAACACTATGATTCTTTTATTGCCTTCATTCCTGAGCTTACTTGAATTCTGTTTTAACACCTAAAGGCTATAACAGTTTGCTTGGCTTCAGTTATTTGCACTGTTTTTGTTTTTTTTAAATATCAGGATGTATTTACCAATAAATGTGCTTTGGATCGTGAGCTGGTTTGGAAGCTGTTGTCGAGTAAGGATGCAGCCATATAGATATACAGGTGTGTGTGCTTCTATTGTCCCTGGCTATGAATGACTTTGATGTTAAAGATGTCTTAATCCCCACTGCTCCATTCCAGCCACATGTTGGGAAACTCAGCATCTGCCCAACAACAGGACAGTTACCATGCCCAGCGGGATGATGACAGGCGCCAGGAGGAAAACCGTGTACAGGTGCCACGGCTCTGGACACACCACCACACCTGGTTCTGAGAAACACAAAACTGTAATCACACCTTGATTCAGTAGTACTGTAAGTCTTTTTCCTGTAAAGTCAAATTGAAATTAAAGGGCAAGTTCACTTAAATTACAAAAAAAAGAAAAAGGACAGTGAAAATTCTGCCACCCCAGTAGCAGAATTAAAACAAAACCAACGGTGCCTATGGTTAAACACTACTAGATCTACAAATATCTTCTTGATTCTATAAGAGGAAACCGTGAAAACATTTTTCCTAAACAACATAAGCAGCAGAAAGGGAGTGCTAGCTGCTGTTTAGGACAGACTCACCAGAGACTGTTGCTGAGTCTGTTGTCAAAACACTTTTTCCAGCACCTCCACCTTCTCCAATCACTGAGAGGAAAATATTTAGATCAAACAAGTCTTCACTCTAATGTTGGCATTTTTCATGATTTGTGGGAAATAAAAATTTGTGAACTTGAAATCCAAAATGCAGCTTTAAAATAGGATCCAATGATTGTTTCATGTTTAAAACTGTTGTTCTACTTAGAAGTGTTTAGGTCAGTGAAATGGGGAATTGTGTGCGAAATGTGAAAGTATAGGTTTGTGCAATAGCTGCTACTGGGATAACAGAGAGAATCACATTTCAATTAGGTACAAATTACAATCAGAGCTATAGACAGGGGCCGCAATCACCTGACAATTATGTGACTACATATAATGTTGAGTGACTCAAAGGAAAGGATAGGTTCAAGGTCTGTCTTAAAACAGTACTCAGATGCCCCTATGAACATTGTTAATAATGGCTATTTAAAAGATCCCTTTGTAATGTATTTCCTGTGTAAGTGAAAGAGACAAAAGCTACTGTTCTGCATTGAACAGGGACTGTGGATTTTGTCACCCATTGCTCTGAAGCTTGAAGAATTGTGAACCTGCCCTTTAAGGTAAACTTTAATTAAAAAAGAGTGGCAGAAATCAGCTTTAGGTTTAGTTGTGGGTGGACTGAGACACTTATTGGCAACATCCCCCCAAAAACCAGAAGGCAGCAACCTAGGAGGAGGCAAGAGCTTGTTGTATTAGATTTTATATCTGTTTTTACCCGCTGGTTCGTTCTGAATTCGCTAAGAAAGTTCTGTGTAGTGTGTGCAGTAACAGCCAGTGTGTAATTTGCATGCATGAAAACTAGATCAGATCAGGAAGGAGATGTTACCTGGTGGATGGTGGTGGAAGATGCTTTTTGTTATCAGA